TAAAATTATTTAGATCAAAATTATTTGTAATTATTAAAATTATTAAGAAATTGTTTATTGGGATAAAATATTTTATGGATTAAAAGTTTTTCGCCAGAGGAGGAATCTCTCTTTTTTTCTTCCCTACCGCAGCTATTTTATAATTTTTCTCCTTGTTTACCCTCATCCTCTGTCATCATAAAAACGTTTTTGTGCCAGGATGAATAAACAGTTATCCTGGATGATGGATGATAATTCAAATAGTGACACATATCATCCTCTATCATCCCCGTGACTCCGGCTATTTTCGTGCCGCCTCAATATGTCCAAGTTGATTGATAATCTTGTACATATCACATGAATTGGTATACTGATTTTTCTCAGTGCCGATCCCTCACGGATCAGGAAACATTATGCCTATTATATTTGTCAAAGGTTCTTCTGTTTGTTTGGTTAGAATTCTTGAAAAGTTTACAATGACATTTTTGATATTTTGTACGTTTTCGTAAATTATTTTTGCAGTCCACACATATATCTAAGCCTTTTATAGGTAATGATACTTGGAAATTGAAACCATTTTGAGTCCGGAATTAAATTTAATCTTTTTGTTTTTGTTATGAAGATTACGTGAAATCACGTGGATTATTTCTTCAGGTCTAGGATAAATATAAAAATAACTTATCTAGAATAGTAGATATAAATTCAAAAAAGAAAAAGTAGTTCTAAAAAATGTCGCAAGTATTAAGACCCCCTAAAGAATTGTACAAAAAATATAGTGAAAAGTTATCATTTTGTTATGCACCAGGTCATTCTCAATTCCAAGATGGTTACATAGGAATCAACGAATCATCTGTATCTGGTATTTTAGAACTTAACTTTCCATCAGACGATCCCGTACATGACAAGCAAATTGATATCACTCTAAAAGGGGTGGAATATGTTTTTTGGACAGAAAATCATGGAAAAAATTCTAAAACTTATAGACATAAAGAAATTTTAATTTGTCAAGATATATGCGTTTGGCGAAGCCATGATAATACATATCAACAGATTAACGAACTACAACTTCCTTTTCAATTTGAATTGCCTGATAATCTACCCTCTTCTGTAAAATTTGCTAGAGAAGAATCCAAAATTTATTACAGCTTGAAAGCAAGCATGAAACAAGAATCTAGTATGTTGAAATTTCGTGGTTCAACGAAATTCATTAAAATACGTTGCCCAATAACCAGATATTCTTTATTTCCAACGATTTCAATTCCAACCCAATTCTCAAATTATGATGACCCTTCTGCTATCTCTCGGGGAATTGGATATTCTGTATCATTGGAGCATAATGTATTTAGTCAGTTAAATCCAATTATTATAAATTTTGGATTGATTTTTTATAAACCTAATTTAAAAATTAAAGTAATTTTAGGAGTAAAGCAAAAAATCAAATTTAGAGTCAAGTCCGCACGTAGATTTTTTAAACAATATGTTTTAAAAAGTGTTATTAAAAATAATGAAATCAAAAATAGATTGGATTATAATAATGAATATAAATCTAGTGTATTCCTCCACGAAATGACACAATACTTAATTCCGTTAGACATAGTATCGATAGGCATCATATTAACGTTTCTCATAAATTTAGATTCAAGATCAAATTTGGAGTTTTTGGAGGAAGCGATATTATATTGGAAAAGGATATTAAAATTGAAGATATGATCACACAAGATTTAATGTAAAATATATTTGACTTTTTATTTTTTAATTTTTTTATTATTTAATATTTCTTTTTGATATCATTTTTAATAAAAGATTAATCATTATTTTTTTAATTCGAATTTCCAAAGAATATTTAATTCTATTACAACAAATTATTCATTTCTAAAAATTGGATGCACATTCAGAGTGAAGAATCTAAATAATAATAAAATATCTTTGTAATATAAAAATCCAATAAAATTAGTTCACTTTCGTCTCCTTTGTTTAGTGATTTCTTGGTTCTGAATTTTGAACAATGTTAATGCTAATGGGCATTTGTTATAAAACGGACTAATTGGTCTACACATCTTTATTCATTATATTTTCTAGCCTCTCATCCGATTCTTCCTTTAATTTTATCAATATCTAGTTAAATATGTCAAGAACCCAATATTAATTGTGTATGTCATGTTGTTATGATGTATACCGAGTGTCACTATTCTAATTTTGCCAATAATAATATTAAACTTTTAAATATTATGCCTATTATATTTGAGGATGCAATTGTTTATTGTCAAAGGTTCTTCTGTTTGTTTGCAATGACACTTTGTACATTTCTTGTAAATATTATTTTTGCAGTCACACGCATATATAAACCTTTTATAGGTAATGATACTCAGAAATTTGAAACCATTTTGAGTCCGGAATTAAAGGCAAACATGATAAGTCGGTCTCTTGATAAGTCGGTCTTAACCTAATTTGGCCAAATTTTTATAGCCGTTTTTTTTATAATTAAAAATTTTTTGATAAGTCGGTCTATCATATAAAAATCGCGATAAAGCCTAAGTCGGCCTCATACTCCAGCTATCTTTGTATTAAATATATTGCGATAAGTCAGTTTTGATCACGTGTTCACGTGATAATAATAAAATTAGATCATCGAAATCGTCAATTCGAAATTTAAAAATTTTAAATAAAGTAAGATTTATAAAAATAAACGTTATTGTTATTTATGACTCCGCGAATGTCGAAGCTATCGAAATGAAACACATATCATTTTGTAGCTAAGAACAAGGCCTTTCTTTTTATCTTAGAAATATATTAGTAGAAAATCGTTTTTCTCTTTATAAATCGAGAGCGAAGTCGAAAAAAAGTAAAAATTTCCGGAGATTTTCACGTTTTTTCAGCTTCGCTCGCGATTTATAAAGAGTA